AAGTCCGGCGACAATTCTGCGACGACGGCCGCCGCGCACCCTTGTCCTGCCCTGCGGGGCGCAGTCTTGCAGCGCGCCTGTCAGACGAAGGAGGGGCAGAGGTATCACTTGCAGATATTTCGCACGCAGACGATGGCACAGTCATCCTGCTCATGCCCGCGCCTTTTTTTGCGCGAACGGCTCAGCAGAGCCCTGGTTTTAGTATCCGAAGCTTTCGCCACCAGGGGACATCTACTTAACCTTGGGCTTGCCAAACCAGCGGCGCTCATCGCGCGGCGTGGTCCAGGGGCCAATGCAGCGCGTCACTCGGCGCGGCTCGAACAGGGAGGCAACACCGTGGGCGAGTCAGCTATCGTTGGGGCGATCGAGGCACCCATCGTGCACAACTACATTCATGTGGGTTCAGTTTTCGACGCAGGTGCGGCGATGACGCCAGAGATTCGATATTGGGTCGCCTCCTCTGCTGTCTCCCTCCAAGTGCTACGACGACGAGTTTTTGCGACCGGCGACGTCGGTCTCTCATGCCGTCTTATTATTGCAAACAGCTTTGTGATGTCCAGCCGACTGTGCAATGGTGGTGCATGGCCCGCCTTTGCAGTGTCAGACGAGCGTCTTGCGCGCGTGGAGGTCATGAAAGTTCATCGTGCAGCTGCGCGCGCCAGTTACCGTGAGGACACATCCCAGGTCTCCGACGCATTGGTTCTTGTTAGACTCCGACGGCCCGACCCAGCTACACGGATTCGAGCGGCCCACTTAAGGTTCCTGGGGTCCCTGGTCCACACAGGCCCTCGGCTGGCCCTCGCAGTGATTGCAGCAGGATGGAAAACCCTCGAACACGACGCGGTACGCCAACAGCGAGCCGTCATGGGAGTCTGGACTACGGACCTACAGTGGCTGCAGGAATCTGCGCGACGTTGTGCAGACCTCCCCGACCTTGCCGCCAATTTCGGTGCATGGGAGACGTTCATACAACGCAGCGAACCAGCTTGGAAACGGGCTTTTCAGATAGGAGTCTACGCACATACACAGCATGCGGCACGACTCACAGTTGCCCAGCGCGTGGAGCGACAGTTCTTTGCTGACGCGACCGCTGCGGGTGCACCGGCCGGGGTCTACACCGACGCGCAGGGCATGGTCGTCCCGCCACCGCCAGCGCCCGTGCCCGCCACGCGCGCCTGCCCCTGGTGCGAGCTACAGTGCCAGCGCCACCGCGCACTACGCGTTCACATCGCACACAACCACCGCCAACTTACTACACTGGCGCGAGGATGCGCATCACTGACAGGCACCTGCACGGCATGCCTGCATACCTACTACGCCCGACCCCACCTCATCGATCACCTATCGATCGATTCACCACGATGCTTGCTCGTAGGCATACTAGCAAACGATAACCCAGCCTACCACATCAAGCGGCCCATCGACCCCACTCCACGACCACCTGGCACCTGGCCGCAGGTCCACATTCCTCGACGTCATGTTGTTGTGCCCACACTACGTGCCCAAGGCCCCCGCCCCGAAGTAGCCAGCACGATAGCCGACACCGTCACGCAAGCAGCAGCCCGACTAGCCCTCCTCGAATGCGCTCCGTATCTCGCCGAAGCCGCCAAGGACGCCCAACGGCCGCTGCTTCGCCTAGATGCTCCACCACAGCTCCCAGACATCGCATGCCCACCACCACATATCGAGCGCTACCCCACCCGCATGTTCCTGACAAGTCAGCACGCAGGCACGGCCGCGCAGATGCTTCCGATCGCCATCAAGCGGGCTGAGTACTTCGCACTCAACCTCCACTGCGGACGCCGACGGGCAGGCGACATTCAAGCATGCCTCGAACGGACGCACTACGATGTTAATTTCACCCTGGTTGTACTATCGATCGACATCGCCATTGATCCCGCGATGGGCAACATGATGCGACGACAGACGCTGGAGACGTGGAAGGAGCACAGACGCGCTATGCGAGTTGTCCTGTCGGGGGGGGGGGGCGCCCTGCGAAACCTGGAGTGCCATTCGTTGGGCCGACGATGCCGGCGCCCTCTACGTTCGCGCGACCGCGTCTGGGGGCCCAAGGCAGTTGCGCCGCGCCAAATGGAACAACTACGCGTTGGAAACGAGCTCTTGGGGGCAAAGACCGAACTGTTTGGGGTCCACCTTGTCGTTGGGGCGGCCTGCTGGATGGAGCATCCCACGCCGGCTTATTGGAGAAGCCGCGGTGAGTTTTTTCTTTGCCCCATCCCCGCGAGCCGCGATGGCAGCACCAGCGGCCGCGGTTGCAGATTTTGATCAGTGCGAGCACGAACAGAGCGCGCGCGCCCACCCGTATGCTCGCGTTGCGTGCGCGCGCATTACACGAGCGCCTACTCGAGACACCTCGGAGAGGACGCTGCTCGCACGGGCGTTGATCGCACGAGGTCTTGATGGGCTACGATCGCAGTCGCGACGACTTGCGTGCCGCCAGAAAGAAGACGTACCCACCAGCTCTCTGTCAGGTACTAGCGGATGGCATCATGGACTCTGTAAACCACATGCGTGAGACCAGCGACCCAGACGCATTACCAGGCGACATGCGGGAAACAAAAAATCGAGCTTCCTGGGTCCTTGTCCGATTTTTTTCATGACATGGGACCCCTATCAGGGCGCGGGCGAAAGTTGGGCCCCTGATTTCGCCTCGCAGGCCCCTCGGCGGGCCCGTGCAGACCACAGGAGGCATAGGTTTCAGCCGCCGTCCCCCCCCCCCCCTCCTGCGCCAGGTGTCGCTGTGATCCGGGGCGGGGCCCAGGGACCCAAGCCCTATGAGGCCACAGACGAGCAGGAGCACGCAGAAGCGTTGGCGTTTATCGAAGGCACCCCGATCCATGGGCGCGACGCCGGTTGCCCTTTTCAAGTCAGCGCAGCCCTTGCCCACGCCCCGCCTCTACCACCCTGCCCAATTCCCTTCGCAGATGCAGTTTTAGCCGCGATTGCCCGCGAGCGCTCTGAAGCCCGCGCGCGGCGAAAGCAGAGACTTGCCGCCCGTGTCGCCCCTTGGGCCATGCACTCGGGATTCGGTGCCAACCTTTCCGATTCCCACCGCGAGTAAACCGCTTTCTGTCTATCGTGGTTTGTATGGGGGGGGGTCGGGGGGCAGGCAGGTTGGTAAGACTGCGACAGTGACACAGGCGATTTGTGGTTTCGCGCGACAGCGGTCTCGTCCTGCGCAGCTGAAGCATGCTCAGCCGTCGTCGGCCGAGCCGAGGGTCGATCCGCGAGGGGGGGGCGCAGTGGGCGCTCCGAGAGGAACTCGCGAAGCCCCACCGAAGCGAGGTCGCCGTTTTGCACCTGCGCTCTCTCGAGCACGCCGCAGGCGTCGATTGGCGACGTTGGACGGGCGGCGGATGCGTTAGTTTTCAGTTCGGGCGGGGGGGCAGCCAGTCACGATTGTTCGAGCTGTGGCTCGCGTGCACGCGCAGCGCGCTACCTTCGCGCCGTCAGTTACTTGATGAAGCCTTTCCCTTGGATTGGGCGGGGAGGATGGGTGGGGTCTGTAGTCTGTGAGAGTAGCTGCCTGACTTCCACGGTCTCTCGTGCCCGCAGCCTGCCTGCATGCGCCGCCATCCCTGTCTCTCAGCACATTACATTATCTTCGTTGTCTTTTGAATGTTGGCAAGGGGTATCGGATATCAGGATGCCGCGAGGGACAGGCCCGGCATGTTTGTGCAGTGGACTTCTCTTGCGCAGCTGACGGCCGCTTTGGCGTCGGCGGCCGAGCCGAGGGCCGATCCGCGAGGGGAGGGGGCTATAGTGGGCGCTCCGAAAGGAACTCGCGAAGCCCCCTCCCCAAAGCGGCTCTCGCCGAGGGAAGGCCGCCATTTCTACGCCTGCGCTTTTCGTGAGCTCGCGGTCGTCTTGGAAGGGGGTGGAGGCGGGGTAGTCAGTTACTGTCTGTCAAGCTGAGGCCCGCGTGCAGCGGTGCGCGCGTCATTTTTGCATTGTCAGCTCGCGAGGCACTCAAGTCTTTGAGACGCAATGCCGGCCTGCCGCGTGAGTTCGCAGATGCTTTTGCACGACTGGCTTCCTTTGGACAAGCACCCGCCGTGGATGACGAAGGGCGCCCGTTTTCACACTTACAGCTTAGACACGTGGACCCCGTTCTCGCGGCGATGGCCACGCGCCAGCGCCGAAGTATCAGTGACGTTCGGGCAGAGGGGAGTGCTTCAGAGAGAGTTGCCGCCTGCCTCTGTTGCTTTCTCCCGCCCGCGGCCTGCCTGCACCGCCGCGCGCTTTCCTTTTCTTGCTGTCAACGCCCCCAGAGGCGCCTCCCCCCCGCTTCGAAGCTGCGGACATAGTTTCACACCTTGGCCCGAGGGGGGCAGCGGTCAGGGGGCCCCGTGAGCGTAGTCCGTCGCTAACCACACACTCGTTGCGCGTGGCGCCGGACCCCCGAGAGCTCGCCTGCGCTGCGCAGCGGCTCACCAGGAGCTCACGCACTGCTCGCTGCGGCGCTAGCCAGGCTGCATTGCATTTTGCATATGCAGTTATGGGGTAGCAGGGCAAGGATCGAGGTTGGAAGAAGGTTGAATTGTCATGAAATATTTTCCCACCTTTTGTCCCTCTCTGCGCGACGAGGCGCATTGCTTTGGCGCAGACAGGACCGCCTGCCTGCCTGTCGTGCCTGTCTGCTACCGCCTGAAGTGCCAGTAGCGCTGACCACGGCTCTAGTGCCTCTGAGCTTGTGTAGTGTCACTTCGAGCGCCGTGCAGGGTGCCTGACACTATATATGTGGAGGGGTGGGTGGGCATACTTTGGGTGGTGGGGAGGAGCTACTGCGCTGTACTTGCTTAGTTGGTGCCCGCGCAGCTCTTTTAAGTTCAGTTGTACGTCTCTTAGTTGCAGCGCCGCCTGCCTCTGACCGTCGCCAGGCGAATCAGATGCGCAATCCAAAGAATCTCCTCCGTCTTCCCCCTGCTCCCCCTCCCTCCCCCTCCCGCCTCCTCCTCCCTTCCCCCCCCCGTCCGCCGATGCGCCGAGCCCCGCGCGCCCGCGCCCTCGGCGCCCTTGGCGCCCTCGGCGCGCTGGCGGGCCCGCTGGCCGCCCGCCGCCCCGCGGCCCTCGCCGCGGCGCCCCGCGGCCGCCGACCGCCGACTGCTGCCGCCAACCGACGAGGTCGATGACGACGACCGAATATGGCGACGACGAGGACGGCGACGACGACGAGGTCGACGACGACGGATGACCGACGACGACGACGCCGACGACGATAGTCGTCGTCGTCGTCGTCGTCGTCGTCGTCGTCGTCGCGACCGTGGCCGTGGTCGTGGTCGTTGCCTTGGTGTTGGTCGTCGTCGTCGTCGTTGTGGCCGTCGTCGTCGTGGTGGCCGTCGTGGTAGGCTCCGTTGCGCCCGCCGCCGCCGGCCGCCGACGACGACGGCGGCTTCCGTTTCGCAGCCTCGTGGGCGGCCCCGGGAGCCCGCTCGCCGCGCCACTGCCAGACGCCACCCGGCAAAATGTGCCTGCTGCGGCGGACCTCGAGAGGGGTCGGGGGGCAAAGTTTGAGCGGGCCGTGGGACCCGCCGCCGCTGGCGCTGTTGTCGTGCTCGTCGTCGTGGTCGTCTGGGTGGTCGTCGCGGTCGTCGCTGGTGGAGGGAGAGGGGGGAGGAGGAACGAGAGAGGGAAGAGGGCAGAAGGGACAGGCAGAGAGGGGAAAAGGCAGATGGGGAGAGGGAGTGAGGGGTGCGGGGGGCGGGGAGAGGGAGGATCTGGGAGAGGGACAAGCTAGGTGCCCCCGCGCCTCATCTGACATCCGACCCCTCCCTCCCATCCGACACCTGCGACCCCCGTGCCTTCGTCCGAGCACGCACGGCCTCGTGCTTCTTGCGCCCGCCCGCCCGCGGAGCCGGGAGCGGAGACGACGTCCCAGCATCGAGCCCAGCACAAGGCAACAGGGATGATGATGATGATGATGATGATGATGATGATGATAATGATAATGATAATGATAATGATGATGATGATGATGATGATGATGATGATGATGATGATGATGATGATGATGATGATGATGATGATGATGATGATGATGATGATGATGATGATGATGATGATGATGATGATGATGATGATGATGATGATGATGATGATGATGATGATGATGATGATGATGATGATGATGATGATGATGATGATGATGATGATGATGATGATGATGATGATGATGATGATGATGATGGTGATGATGATGCTGCTGATGATGATGCTCATGCTGATGATTACGATGATGATGATGATGATGATGATGCTGATGCTGATGATGATGATGATGATGATGATGATGATGATGATGCTGATGCTGATGATGATGATGGATGATGATGATGATGATGATGATGATGACGATGATGATGATGATGATGATGATGATGATGATGATGATGATGATGATGATGATGATGATGATGATGATGATCCTGCGCGAGCCACAGAGCAAGGCCACAGGGCCCCGGGGCCACAGGGCCAGCATCGAGCCCAGCACAAGGCCACAGGGCCACAGGGCCAGCACAAGCCCACAGGCCCCGACCTCTTGCCGCGGCCGTCGGCCCGCCCGCCCGCCCCACTGCGAGGCGCCCGCGGCCCTCGCCGCGGCGCCCGCGGCCCGCGGCCTTCGCCGTGGCGCTGGCCGCGGACGACCGCCCCCCGCGCGGCCTCCGCGGCGGACGGCGGCTCGCGCGGCATCCGGCGGTCGCGGCGGCGGGCGAGAGGAAGGCGCCCCGCCGCCGCGAGCGGTAAGGACGACGACGACGACGACGACGACGACGACGACTACGGTGACGACGACGACGACGACCACGTCGACGACGACTACGACGACGACGACTACGACTACGATGACGACGACAGCGACCACGACCACGACGACGACCACGACGACGGTGACGACGACAAACTCGACGACCGTGACAAAGACGACGACGACGACGATCACGATGACGACGATGACGACGAAGACAACGACCACGTCGACGACGACGTTGATGACGACCTCGTCCGCGCGGTTGACGACGACGGCAACTTCGATTTCGACTTCGACGACGGCGACGACGACCGCGACACGACGACGACAACGACAACGTCGAGGAAGGCGGCCCGCCGCCCCTGCCGCTGCGGCCCGAACAGGGGCGTCGATGTTGACGACGGCAACGACGACGGCGCCGTCGCCGGCGGTGGCGGTGACGGCGGTGACGACGCGGGTGACGTCCGACGACGACCGTGACAAAGACGACGACGACGTGCACGACGACGACGATGACATTGACGACGACAACGACAACGAGTACGACGACGACGGCATTCAGGGAAGCGTCGTTGTGCAGGACGCCGGCGGCGAGGGTGACGACGGTGACGACGACGACGACGGCGTCGACGGCGGCGGCGGCGGTGTCGACGTGGGCGACGTGGGTGACGTACGACGACGACGTGGGCGACGACGACGACATTGACGACATAAACTACGTACGACGAAGACGTGGGCGGCGGCGACGTACGACGCTGACGACATTGACGACGCGGGCGACGACGACGACAACGACAAAGACAAAGACAACAACAACGGCAAAGAAAACGACTACGACGACAATTTCGACGAAAACGACGACACGACTGCGACGACGAAGACGTTAAGGAAGACGCTCAGCGGCCGCCTCCGCTGCGGCTCGGACAGGGGCGTGGATGCTGACAACGACGACGGCGACGGCGGCGACAGTGACGGCGGTGATGACGTTGACGACGTTGATGATGCACGGCGGCGGCGACGACGGCGACGACGACGGCGACAACGTTGGCAGCGGCCTCCGTGGCTGACGGCGGTGACGGCGTGGGCGGCGTGGGCGACGACCGTGACGACGGTGACGGCGACAGCGACGACGACGTACGTTGGCGACAACGAAGTTGATGCAGGCGCCGCCTGCCGCTGCGGCCCCGACAGGGGCGTCGACGTTGACGACGACGGCGGCGACATGGTGACCGCGGTGACGACGTGGGTGACGTACGACGACGTGCGTGACGACGACGACGACGACGACGACGACGACGACTACGACGACGACGACGACGGTGGCGGCCACGGTGGCGGCGGCGGCGGCGGCGGTGACGGCGTCGACGACGTGGGCGACGTGGGCGACGTGGGCGACGTACGACGAAGGCGGTGACGATTTTGACGACGACGGCGACTACGAATCACGACAACGATGACGACGACGACGGCGACGACGACGACGGCGAGAACGACGACGACGACGACGACAACAACGTTTATGAAGGCTCCCCGCTGCCGCCGCTGCTGCTCGGACATTGGCGTCGACGTTGACGGCGACGGCGGCGGCGACGACGTGGGTGACGTACGACAACGACGTGGGTGACGTGGGCGACGACGCCGACGCCGAAGACGGCGACAGCGACGGCGACGAGGGCGGAGGCGACGGTGGCGGTGGCGCTGTCGACGTAGGCGAAGTGGGTGGCGTCCGACGACGACGACCGTTGCGGCTTGGACGACGTGGGCAACCACGACAAAGACGACAAAGCCGACGACGACGACGACGCCGACGCTGACACGACGACGTTGAGGAAGGCGCCCCGCCGCCGCCGCCGTTGCTGCAGCTTGGGCAGGTGCGTGGGCGTTGACGACGGCGACGGCGGCGGCGACGGTGACCGCGGTGACGACGTTGACGACGTGGGTGGTGTACGACGACGGCGACGACGACGGCGACGACGACGACGGCAGCGACGACGGCGTTGGCGGCGGCGGCGGTCGGCGCTGACGACGGCGACAGCGACGTTGAGTAAGGCGCCCCCGCCGCCGCCGTTGCTGCTCGGGCAGGGGCGTCGACGTTGACGACGACGACGACGACGGCGACGGCGACGGTGACCGCGGTGACGGCGTTGGCGACGTGGGTGACGTATGATGACGACGACGACGCCGACGACGACGACGAGCCACGCTGGCCCTTGCGGCGACGGTGACGGTGGTGACGGCGTTGGCGACGTGGGTGATGTATAACGACGACGACGACGAGCCACGCCGGTCCTGGAGGCGGCGGTGACGACGTGGGCGACGCGGGAGACGTCCGACGATGACCGTTGCGACTTGGACGACGTGGGCGACAAAGACGACGACGACGACGACGACGACGACGACGACGCAAACGACCCAAACGACGCAAACGACGCCTGAGGTTTCTCGTCGTTCATGGGTTCCATGGGCCCTCCTCCAGGTCCTCGGGGAGGGCCCCCGTTCCAGGACCCGTTCACCTCAGGAACCGCCTCTTTCATGCCAACGCAGCCGCTGTGGCTCGGGCGTGCAGAAAGTCGTGACAATGGTGCGTCCCAAGGGTCCTCCAGGCCTCCCAGATCTCATGGCCCCCTCTTCCCTGGCAGCCAGCCCGCACCCCGCCCTCAGGCGCGGCGCCCTCGCCGTCCTCGCCCGACGCCGCGGTGGCGGAGGCCAGCGACGAGGACCGCCTGGAGGGCGGGGTAGGGCAGCCGAACAACAAACATCAAGGGCGTAAAACACGCCCGTACCCTGGTTTTCTGAGGTGCTGTGCGCTGAACCGCGCGGCGTCCTGGCGGCTCTCTGGCCTGTGGGAGCTCCCAGGAGGTTGACTGTCCATTTCTCAACAACAATAGCGTAAACATGGTTTCGGCATGAGCAGGAAGAACGGCATCAACACAGCTTCGACACTCGAATCACAAGCAACGGCATAAACATGACTCATCGGAGCCCCGCGCGGATTTTTCTTAGATCGACGCTGGACCCCCCTTGGCACGCCTCCGACGCCGCCCCTGGCCCGCTCCGCTCGTCGGGGAGGGGGGCCCAGCGCCGATCCAAGAAGTCCGCGCGGACCTCCGAGAAGTCATGTTTACGGCGGTGTTTTGTTTCTCGAGGGGGACGAAGAATGACATAAACGTAAAAACTCTGAGGCCCGCGCGGAACTCCGAGTTTTATGTTTATATGTCAATATTCGGCCCCCTATTCTCGAGGCGCGGGAGGCAGTGCTCGGGGGCGCTCAAGAGGGGGACTTCGGGGGGACATTCCAGGGGTGGCCTCGGGTTCGAGGTGTTCGTCGCTCTCGTTGGTTCTCGGCGTTTCCCAGCCTCGGGATGCTCTCGAGCGGCTGCGCCTCGCTGACAGCGTCGAGGGGGTTCTCGGACCGCCCCGAGCGGCCGCCAGAGGCTCGATTCATGACCCGGAAGCTACCGGGCCTCGAGAGGGGCAAAGATTAGAGGGAGCGGGGCGGGGGGCCGGTAGTGTCACGTTCCGGGCAGGCGCCGTCCGGAAACGTTTCGGACGAACCAACGCCAGCTCGGAGGTCGGCACGAATCGTGGTGTTGCCCTGTTTGGGGGGAGGGGGGACGGCTGGGGCCGGTGACGGCCGCTACCGCAAGAAGAAGTGCAAAATGCCCGCAGCGCAGATTGGTCCTTCTCTACAAGAGGAGCCGAGTCAGAGGAGGAGGAGGAGTCAGATGAGGAGGAGGAGGAGGAGGAGGAGGAGGAGGAGGAGGAGGGGAAGGAGGCGGTAGAGCTGCCTCGCCAGCGCGCCCCCTGCCTGTTGGGCTTCTCGGCCCCCCCATCTCTCTAGGCCTCTTGCTCCTGTGCAGTTGGCTGAGCCCCGTCCTCCCGTGTCGGCTACTGTGAGGGCTGGCCTGAGAAGGCTCAGCAAGGGGCGTCCTCCGAAATGTGGCACTTGTTGGATGGACCTCTCCAGCTCTCCGCCGCCTCGAGCGACGTGCGCTCAAGGAGCGCAGCAAAGCCACAGGGAACGCGTGGTACTGACAGTGCAGCCCCCGCACATGTATGCGTGCGGCACCGTTGCAGCGCACGGCCACCACGGGCACGAGGCAGCCATCCAACACGGAGGCGCTGCAGCGACGAGCTCAGACTGTATAATCTCGTGGGAGTTCGACGGTGACGCCCGACGCCCTCGGAGGTTCGGGCGGCATGGCTGTCTCCCTTCACTCGAGGTCACGTCCACCAGTGCCTTCACACACCGTGAAACTCATCTGCTCCCACGTCGCCGTAAGAACACACGGCAGAGCCCCCAGACGGACACCGACAGTGCAGCGGAGCACCCGCACCAATGGCCGGGGGAGCCCCCGCGAGCGGGCACCCAGGGGAGAGCACGTCTGCGGAGGGGTTCTCTAAAGCGTGTCCTTCTCGGGGCCTCCGGGGCTCCTCCGCGCGGTGGCCCCCGGAGGCCCGGCGGCCGCGGTTCGCTCTGCATGCGCGGCTCGGCTCTCGGGCGGCTGTTGCGCCGCTGCGGCCCTCCAGATTCGGGCCGGGCGAAAGGGGGGGATTGGGAAAGGGGGGGTTGCGAAATTTGCTGCATGCAGCTGGTTTCGGCCTCACCGAGCGAAAAAAATCAGCTACGTGAGCTGATTCTCAAACCCCCCCTTTGCTATCCCCCCTTTCGCCCGACCCGACAGATCTCCGACGGCACCGTGGGAGACGGTTTCCGTTGGGGGAGAGCATGCTGCTTCGCATGAGTCTGATGCCAACGAATGGGGGATGAATTGGATCCGCCAGTGGACCAGTTCTGTGTACTGACGCAGAAGCTGTGCTGTTTTTTTTGGGTCGTGGGCCAGCTCATGACCTAGACGGCGATGCCCCCGGTTCTCGGGCCCGCCCGCCCTTCCCTTGTGTTCGGGGCGCGAGTCAAAGGGTGGACACGGGGAGGCGGCGAGGGCTGCAGAAAAGGGGCCCTTCAGGGCCCCTAAAGGAGCCCTTCAGGGCCCAGAAGGGGGCCGTTATGGCCCGAAAAGGGCACCTGTCTTCCCCCCCCCTCCATTTACGTCGGGCATGTCCCTCTACGGGGGCTACTCAAAAATAGTCAATAAATAGTCTGGGAACGATTGTTTGATTTGCTTTGCTATTTTGGAATATTGTCGCCTATGAATTTTCGCTCAAAATCCGCCTGTAGGGGGACATGCCCGACCTAATCCTCCCTTCCTCGCCCCCCATCAGTTCGTGCCCAACCCTGGATAACATGACCATGTCGGCTGCGCAGGTCGGAAGGGGGTACGCAGTGCTGGTGCGGGTGGGCAGACGTGGAGCTGCCCGAAGCGAAAAGGTTGGGTCATCGGCAGCCCCCCCCCCAACACACACTGGGTGAACCGGGCCAACCAACGCCGAAGAATAACAGACTATATCGTGCGACCCGTCCACTAGCGGCGTCTTCCTTCGATTCCAGCTTTTGGGGCCCTCCTCCCCCTCCTCCCCTTTCTCCTCCTCCCCCTCCTCCTCCTCCTCCTCCTCCTCCTCCTCAGTCTGCTCCTCTCCTCAGTCTCCTCCTCAGTCCTCCTCCTCCTCCTCCTCCTCCTCCTCCTCCTCTCCTCCTCCTCCTCCTCCTCCTCCTCCTCCTCCTCCTCCTCCTCCTCCTCCTCCTCCTCCTCCTCCTCCCCCTCCCCCCCCTTCTCCTTCTCCTCCTGCTCCTCCTCCTCCTTCCCGGGCCTTGGGGGCATCAAGAGCGGATGTCGTACGAGAGGGGCTCCTTGGGGAGGTTGGCGGGGGCTGGGGGGGGGCAGCGCCTCGAGCAGGCGCACAGCGCCGGACGTCTGACGACGTCTGCCTGGTCCTCTTTGGTCTGGTTCACCTTAAATCTGCCCAGGGCGTTTTTTTCCCAACCATCCTGTGGTGTTGGGTCCTCGTTTTGAAGAGACAGCGCCCCGCGTTCCCTTGCGCGCCAGGGGCAGCGCCAGAGGCGCCGCCAGGCGGGGGTCCAGCGCGAATCCGAGAAATCCGCGCGGACCTCCGAGTTTTTATGTCTATGTCACTCCTCGTTCCCCTGTCTGAGCAGGCGGCACGAGGGTCAGGCGCGACCCTAGCTTTGGAGGGGCATCCTGAGGTTCCCTGCATTGGTCTTCCCACCTTGGAGTGTTTTTGTTAATGTATCTCTGCAGTGGAGGCCCGTGCCAAGAAGCACCCTGCTTGCCTCCAGGGTGCCCTGGGTTTCTTGGGTTTCTATGGTTTTGCTGTGCGACGTTCCACACCAAAATCAATGGACGTCCGGGGGTCTCAGGGTTGGGTTTCTTGTGGAAGGTTTTTTGTGGACTGGCCTCTACTGTATATCAGGGCGCAAGCTAAGCAATGGTCTGGCGAGGTCCTGGAAGGTTGTCCTCGTGATTCCGTTTTCCAGCAAAGGCGTAACGAAGACATAATGGGGGAAAGCCTTAGAACAAGGAGAACGGAACTCTCTATTTTGCTCGAGCCTTGATCTCTACGGGGCATCGTTTCTTCCTCGGAGGGTTTCTTGACCCACCTTCTTTGTGTGGCCATGTGCCGACCGTGTCTCCTTTGCGTCCCGTTCTAACGTGGCTGCGTTCGGTCTGTCGGTGCCGGCCGGGTGCGGTCTCGCTGTCGCTTCCTCGGCTAGCTTCTGGCTCCGCTGCCGCCGCGGGCGGCTTGCGGGCCCCCCGAGGGTCTTGCGCCGCCCTTGGCCTTCAGGCTCTCGGGGCCCATCCGGAGGGGACGGGAGTGCGGCTGGCACTGGGCAGATGGCGTGCGATGTGGCGCCGCAGGGCCGCGGCTGCGGCCTGCCTTCCCTGTGAGCGCCTGCTGGGAGGCTTTTTAGTCGAATGTGGGTGCGGCTCATCATCGGCGGCGCGCCCAGGGAGAAGGCAGGGGGGCCGTTCCTTCTCGGGAGGCTCAGAAGGCCTCCGGCTTTCTGAGAAGCTTCCCAGGTCCCAGGCCCTCTCCGAAGGCGTGCGGTCGGATCCAGTAAGATGGCGCGCGATGTGGCGCCACCGGTCCGCCTATGACCCGCTATCCCCCACCTTGAGGATAGCATACTCAGACAAGGCCCTGGCATGGGGATAGCGTGCACAGGAGGCGCCCTCGCGGGGGGAGTCGCCGCACAGGGTAACGTGCTTTTTGGAGATCTATGTTTCACGCTATATTTCCAACGCCAGCCGAATCAGCGACACCTTGACCCGTCAGCGTGCTGCTGGAAGGAAGGAGTGATGCGGGCAAGCGCCAAAGTAAGCAAAGATTTGAAGGGGGGGGACGTTGAGCCTCTGGTTTCCCTGGCCACGTGGACCCCGCAATCGCGAGCCAAAGAGCGCGGCCCACGGAGGGCGTGCAATGCGGCTCGGTCCCCGGGCCAACCTGGAGGCGGGGGTGGCAATTCGTTTGACAAGGCACCCCCTGGCGACCCAAGAACATCTGGCGGCGGGGTTGGGGGGAGGGTCGGGGGGGGGGCGATGTTTACAACAACGTATTCGGCCCCCAGATGTTATCCGTGTTCCCCACACAGTGCGAAGTGCCCCCACCAGGGCAGGGGGGGGTACTGTTTCAGCCTGGTGCCTCCTGAGCAGTACCTCGCCGATGGATTCCCTGCGATGGCGTGTCGTTGATCCTGTGCTTCTTCTCTTTCACCTCCCAGGCCTGGGGGGGGGCGTCGAACGACGACTCGGGATGAAAGATCGGGCCTCGGGGAAAGTCAGGCGATCGCAAACATGGATGAAGGGGGCGTGGATTTGCGACGGGTCCCGTTTCCATGGGAAATCGCGGATTGCCGCCGCCGAACGAGGCGGCAGCGGCCGCATTTTGGGGAGGGCACCTCCCCCGATCCATGGATTTGACGACCGCGCGCCAAATCCATGGACCGCTAATCCATGTTTGCGCGTCCCCAAGAAAGCCGCGGGCCAGGGGCAGGGGTCAGAGGAGGGGCATCCATTCCTGGCACCGCTGCCAGTCCTGGAGCTCCCTCTCCCCCACAACTAAATTCTCCTCGGGGTCTTGGCCAGAACGCACCCCAGGAGAGGTCCAGGCGTGGTATGGGTAGCTTTTGCCCCCCCCCCCACCCACACCCACCCCTGGGGGCTAGTTTGGGTGAGGGGACAGGGTCGAGGAAAGGCAGGGGCTTGCAGAGGTGGCTTCTCTTCCCCCGTGGCTTCCTCATCCCGTCTCTCTTTTCCTCCCCGCCACCATCCCGCTTCCTCTCGTCGTCCTCGGCGTCGTCATCGCCGTCGTCCTCCTCGTCCACCCCCCTCTTCTCTGGCAGCCAGCTGTCAGCAGGAGCGCAGGAAGCTCACCATTGTGGGCTGCTTCGCCGCTCTCTGGCTGTTCGTCTTCGGGAGAGAGGTCGTCAAGTTCCAGGCCGCGCAGGAGCAGCGAGGAGAAGGACGAGGAGGAGCAGCAGGAGCAGGATCGGCAGCAGGAGACAAGGGGAGGAAGATCATGCGGGCGGGGCCGGGGGAGTGAAGAGAATGCGGGCGGGGTGGGGGGAAGGAGGGGGATGAGGAGCCTCGGGGAGGAGCACGAAGACGAGGAGGAACGGGGGAGCAGGAGGAGCAGGAGGAGGAGGAGGAAGAGGGGTAGGAGGACAAAGAGGCGGCGGAGGAGAAGGATCGAGTTCCAGGCTGCACTGGAGCAGGGGCCGCTGGCGACGCAGCAGTTCGTCGGCGTCTTCTCCCTGAAGTTCGCGATAGGCCTGGCGCTCACCGCCGTGCAGGCAGGCCCTGCGCTCCCACTGCCGCCACCGTGCGGCCTCTCCTCCTCCTCCTCCTCCTCCTCCTCCTCCTCCTCCTCCTCCTCCTCCTCTCCTGTCTCAGGCTTCCATCCCCTCCTCCCTCCGGCTTTCCTGCTCCCCTCCTTTCTCATCTCCTCCTCCCCTCCTCGCCGTCCTCTCCCTCCTCGCCTCCTCTTCCCTCCCGCTTCCTCCCTCCTTCCGTCCTCTTCCCTTCTCTTCTGTCCGCATCCCTTCTTCGCGCTTGTTCTTGGTGTGTTTCTTCTTTGCCCGTATACCCTGCGGGGGTTGTGGCGCTCGTTGTGGGGCGTTCACGGCCTCGAGGGGCCTGTGACCAAATGACTAGTCCAATGGGCAGTCCCTCCTGTTTCTTCCTCCTTCGTCTCCTCCTCCTCTCCATCCTGCTCCTGATCGTGGCGTAGACTCAATGCAGTCATTGCCTGCACCCCCGCTTTCTGTCTGGATCCATCCGCTGGTTAGAGTGGGGGCGCGTTCCCCACCCAGGTCCCAACATACCAAACCAGATCCTTCTCGCTCCTCGTGCCCTTCCCTCCCGCCTATTCGTCCTCCTCCCTGGCCAGCCCAAGTTTTCTGAAGCAGCAGCCCTTGACAGGCAGAGTCACCGATATACCCTTTTCACGCATGCCTGCACCTCGGTAAGAAGCCCTCCTCGTCCTCCCGCCTCCCCTCTCGCCCCGCTTCACGCCGCCGCGCTTCCTGGCAGACCTGTCCGGCAGGTGTATGCCATCAACGCGTTCCCTGGTCCCTCCAGGGACGGCGACGGCCCGCCCACCTGGGAGGAGCTGTGGGACTCCTCGAGCGACTACTGGACGAGGCTTGGGAGACCCCCTCGTCACACCAGGCAGTCCGATCCCCGCCACATCGGTCTTCCTGTCCTCCTCCCCTCGTCCCTCCCACCCTCCCCTCCCGGATCCTCCAACATCCTGCCTCGTTTCTTATCCCTCCCTGTGACTCTCGCCCTGCCCCCCCCCCCTCCTCCCTCTTGGCTCCATCCTGCGTCCTCCCTCCCTCCTCTCCCTGCATTCCCTCCTTGCTCCCTTCTCCCTTCCCCCCTTTCCTACCCCATCCGCCCCTCCCTTCCTCCGTCACTCCCTCATGAATCCTCCCCCTTGTGCAACTTGGGCACTATTCTTCCCTTTCTCACTGACTCCCCCTCTTCCCTTCTCCTCTCCCACGCCCCCACCTGGAAGATGGCCGGAAACCAGGCGAGGATCTGACCCGTGGTCTTGACAAGGGAGTCTTGAAGGCCGGTCGCCCTTCCTCCCCAGGTGGTTCTGCTCGCAGTCGTCGGGTACCTCATGCTCCTTCCCTCATCTCTGCTTACTTTTCCGTATCCCTTCTGCGACCTCCTCTTCTTCCTCTTCCGTTGCCTTTTTGATCACTCTCATCATGACCATTCACCATCATCATCAGCATCAGCATCATCATCACCATCATCATGACCAGCACTATCATCATCATCATCATCATCATCATCATCATCATCATCATCATCATCATCATCAGGATCATCATCGTCATAAGCAGCATAACCACCATTGTTAACATCCTCATCGTCGTCGTCACCATCTTACATCAGCAGCGTTGTCGGCATCGTCATCATCAGCAGCATCATCACCATCGCCCTCATCATCATCAGCATCATCCTCCTCATCATCATCATCATCATCAGCATCGTCATCATCATCATCACCAAGAGCACCATCATCATCACCATCAGTGTCATCGGCATCATCATCACGCTCGTCATCATACTCGTCATCAGCATCAGCATCATCGTCGTCACCAGCACCGTCATCATTGTCACCATCATGAGAATGAGCATCATCGTCATAATCAGCATCACCATCACCAGTATCAGCTCCACCACCATCAGCATCATTATCAACAGCATCATCATCGTTCGCAGTACCACCATAACCGTCAGCACCATCATCCGCACCATCACCATCGCCATCATAGTTAATTGCATTACCTCCATCAGTATCATCGTCAGTTATCATCATACTCAACATCACCATATCCATCAACACCATCATCCTCGTCAGCATCAGCACCATCGTCATCGTCACCACCATCGCCATCCGCATCATCATCATCATCATCATCATCATCATCATCATCATCATCATCATCACCCTCACCATCACCATAACGAGCGTCGTCATCACCAGCATCGTCATTCGCATCCTCATCACCATCACCATCACCACCACCATCATCATGATGTTCGTCATCATGATTCAATCGTCACTATTCGCATCACCGTACTGAGCACCATCAGCAGCAGCAACAGCATCATCATCACCACCATCATCATTCGCATCCTCATCATCATCATCATCAATCACAATACCACCATCATAAGCAGCATCATCATCAGCAGCATCATGATCGTCATCGGCATCATCATCATCAGCATCATCATCAGCATCAGCATCAGTATCATCATCAGTATCATCCCCCTTGCCCCTCTCATCTCCATCCCTCCTCGCTCTTCCTTCATCTTCCTGAAACATGCCTCGAAAGGCCGAGTCGTCTTGCTTGAATCCTCCTCCATACCTCCGCCACCTTCTCCTCCACCCTCCCTCCCGCCTCACCGTCCTCACTCCTCCCCCCTATGCTCCCTCCCTCCTCCTGCTGCTGCTCCTCCTCCTCTTCCTCCGCCCTCCTCTTGCGCAGGTACGCTGCCACGCTTTTCGCCGCATACGGCCTGCTCGACGCGGGCACGCAGGCCATCAAGGGCGCCGCGCTCGACGGCCTGCCCGAGGTACGGCGCCTGGACGCCGCCCCGTAGCGGGCGTTCGGCGGGCGGGGCGCGCTGCGGCTGCGGCCGCAGAGGGCAGTCGCAAAAGTCCGCCGAGCGCTCGGCGGGCGCCGCGCCTCCACCCACCCTCCCTCCCTCCTCCCTCCTCCATGTTCGCACCTGTCCTCCTCCCTCCTCCCTCCTCCTCCCTCCCCCTCCCCCCTCTTCCTCCCTCCTCCCGCCTCCATGTCCATTTTTTTTTGGTCGCAGCTCAGATCCAAACCGGGATGGCCGCCTGAGTGCGCATAGTGCGCCGCCAGCGCCGTCCCAGATCAGTCGGAGGGTGGGGCGCGGAGGAGGGTGGGAGGGGCGAGGAGGAGGGGGGAGGAGGGGCGAGGGGGAGGGGGGAGGAGGGGGGGAGGAGGGGCGAGGAGGAGGGGGGGAGGACGGGGGAGGACCCGCAAGTGAAACGAAAGGGCTTCTCTCCCCGAGGTCCCCGCTCGGCGTGCGCCGCGCCCTCTCCCCCCCGGGGGGTCGGGCCTGGAGGGAGGGGCGAGGCTATCCGTTGAGCTATTCCTAAGTGCTCATAGACCTCATGGCGCCAACATCGCAGAGGGGATTTCGCTCGGAAAACACTGGGGTGGGCCCGGATTGTCCTGGTCCCGGATTTCGACGTGAATTTCGTGCTGATTTTGTTGGTCAGGGATGAAGTCTACAAAACATCCACGTGAAATTCACTTCGTTTTTTCGCTCGCCGTTTCGGGATTGCCAGAAATCCACGCAGACATCCGCTGCAGCACGTCTGCAAGGTCGGTGCAATGATAACCCGCGAGGTCGTCGCTCTCATCTTCCTCATCTTGTCGGTGGTCATTTTGGCCTCGACCTGATCTTGCACGCTTTTCGTGCCCTCCCTGGGACCCTTTGTTCGCAAGAGATCTCTCCCAGGAAGCCCTCGAGAGGCCCAATGGATCGGAACTCCTAAAGCAGATCTATGATCTGTTTGTTCTCGCATCTGCGCCTTCGATGCGCTTCCGAGGCTTGCGCACGATCCCCACGAGAGCTACAAGGTGCCTCTCAGAGACGCCCCAAGCGGCCCCCAGAGGACCCCAAGGAGGGTAACAAGGCGCTCGAGGAGGCACCCTGGAGGCGCCAGAGAGGCTCCCGGGAGGCTCTGAGAAGTCCCCAGGAGCCGCCCGAGATACCCCCACGGGCGCCCAGAACCACAGAGAGCGCCCAGAGACGCCAATGAATCCCCCAAGAGGCCCCCCAGAGGCCCTACGAGATCCCACGAGACGCCCGCAACAGGCTCCAGGAATGTTTTGAAGACACCCCACAGCCGCCTCCAGGAGACTGCCACGAGATTTCCTCTCCTCATCGCTCCCTCCTCTCTGATCCCTCTCTCCTCCTCCTCCCTTTTCCCCGTTGTGTTCCTTTCCCTCCTCCCTCTACCTCATCTGTGTTTTACTCCATCCTACCTCTGCCTATCTCATCCAGCTTCCTGCCTCACGGAGTGATAGGAGGCCCAATTTGAAACGAATATTTGAATCACACATGTTTACGTTATCCCCCCACCCCAGGAGATCGTTTTCGCCTCTCCCATCCCTCGCTGTCCGCTCCCACTGATCTCTCGCCTGCTTCCCGTTTCACAGCATTATCCTACTTCTCCCCTTCTGGGTTTTGAAAACACCCCAGAAACGACCCTGGGAGATTGCCACGAGATCTCGTCTCTCCTCATTCCTCTCTCCTTCCTGATCTCTCTTCTGCTCCCTTTCCCTGTTTTTCTAAGTTCGTGCCTAGCGTTGGCCTAGTCGTGCCTAGCGTTGGCGTGCCAAAGACTTCGTTTCCAGCTCCACCATCCCTCGCCCTCCAGTCTTCATTGACCTTCTCTCCATATGTCTACATATGTATATGTGTATGTAAATATCTCATCTGTGTGGTCCTCGTCCTCCTCCTCCTCCTCCCGTTCCACATCCCCCTCCCTTTTCTCCCCCTCCCCTTCTCCTCGCCCTCGACGCCGCCGCCGCCGCGGTCCCCGCAGTGTTTCTGGTACGCATAAGTGCTCTTTACCTTCCCGGATCCCAAACCGCCGAAGATTGGCCCAGATGACCCCGACCTCGCCCCACGATTCCCAAGCCATATTCCCCCGTTGGCCCGAAGACGGTTGCACAAAGTCCCAGACAGCTAACGAAGCGCCCACGGCTACCCTGGAGGCATGCAAGATCGTGCAGCCGAACGCAGGGTCCTGCCGCGGGCTCCACCGATGCTTCATTGTTTGTGTTAATTCAAGAGGTTCCGCTGGTACTTCGTCTAGAATTCGAGCGCGCGCGAAGGGGGAGAAGGAAAGAGAGGGAGAGGGAGAGGGAGACAGAGAGAGGGAGGGAGGGAGAAATAGAGACGGGAAGACAAAGGGAGAGAGAGAGAGAGAGAAAGGGCGAGAGAGAAAGAGATAGGTGTATACGTATCTTGTTCGCCAGAGAGAGAGGGAGACAACGAGAGAGAGAGAGAGAGCGAGAGAGAGAAAGAGAGAGGGAGAGAGAAAGAGAGAGAGGGATTTCTACGTATCTCGTTCGCCACATGTATCGTGATTCGCTCCAGCAGTCCTCCTGCTTGTCTTCACTTGCGTGTGCGGCCGTGGCTCCCCCAGGGCTTGGGCTTCCAGTGCCAGCCCGAAGACGTGGCCCTGCGGGACTTTTTCGACTTCAGGAGGGGACGCGGGGCTCACCCACTTCTTGCTGCTTCGCCACGCCCGCCTCCGTCCTCCCTTCCCCACGTTCCTTCGTCCTCCCTCTCATCTCCCAAGTCTTTTTTCTTCCTCCTCCTCCTGCTCCTCCTCCTCCTCCTCCTAGGTCTTTTGGAACACGACTGCTCCATGGTATGTGCTCTTGCGGGAAGGCGTGGGTGAAAATGTGCCCGTCGGGAAACTGCTGACACTCCTCATGGAGACTACGGGTACCTTCGAGGCCGCTCACGCCTTGGGGCAATCCGGACAACGGCAGCTCTTGGCTGGCGTATGCGCGAGGCCAAGGTCTCGATAGTGGACACCAAACACGATATGACGAATGCGTTTGCGTCAGTGTTGCATTCCGAGCTCGACGGAGCAGCACAGAGGATGTATGAACCCGTGGACGTCCCCTTCATGTGCCAGCGCCACCGACAGGCGAGTGGGGAACAGGCGTGGTTCCGGAATGGGACAGGGAACTTCCAAGGGGATTCTAATTCGGCGCAGGTGTTCCGGGAGGCTTTTTTCTGAACCGATCCAGGCTTGGACTGAGCAGTTGACCAGCCGCCACTCCCACGATCTTGTTGCTACTTGCCCCATTTCGGGAATCGTTTGCGATCTCTCTCTCCGAACGTATGCCGACGACGTGAATAAGTCCCACCAGACTACCGACCCTGCGCATACAGGCATGGTTATCAGAACTTCTGACAGCATACTCGACCGGGAGCTTCGCAATTGTAGCTCAGAACCAGGGGAAAAAAACATTGTCGCTCATTATGCAGGTCCTGGGTCCCACAGGTTCAACAAGTACGTCCACGATCTTCGATGCGACCCACAATTGGTGGCCTGAAGTGGAGAGCCGTTGCGATGCGATTGCGAAGGGATGGCACATGATGCGACGATTTTGGAAATCGAAGGCCACGTGGACACACAAGAAGCTTGTATTCCGCAGTAATGTTGTGGGCGCTGGTGTGTCGGGCCTACCCGCTCTTGTCCTTACCCCTGCCCAGATCGACCGAGTAGACTCGAAGTGCGTGCGGTACGGCTGGGCTCTCCTGGGAGGTGTGGCGGAGAGGCGGACAAGGATAGATGATGAGGGAAGGGAGGTGACGGTCATCCGGTCATTGTCGAATCTTCAGGTTTGGCGACGACTCGGCCTTGTCCCAAAGGTTGAAAGGCTGGCAGAAAATTGCTGCTAACCCTGCATGGCATGCCCAGGAACTTTCTGCAGTTTTCGGTACATTCAAGTTCGAGGACCCACGACCCCAGCTTTTCCCGTGGATACCGCACGATCTGGGGGCCCCAAAATCGACTGCCATGACCAACCCGTGGGCCAGGATATTCGTGCAGGACCTGCCTCCGAAGCTTGGAAGTGGGAGGGATTTGTGGGATGCTATCGGTACGGACTCCCTCAACGTGTTCCGGAATGGTGAGGCGCGGAGGATCTTCCGACTGATGGATTTCGCCATCGTGCGTTCTGAATGGCTGCTGACCCCCACCACCGCCAGCTGGCCCAGACGAGGTGGAGAGGGGTGAGACAGCGGATGGGGATCATGAGTGCTTGCTCCTGGATGCTGACAGTTGTGCGTGCCACAGGCGGTTCAGGACTCGCAGGGCACTGTTGGTACACCAACGGCAATCTAAGGAGGGCCAACACGGAAAATGGTGGGTGAATTGCTTCCCTGACCATGACGAACCAGTGTGTCGCGTGCCGGTCTACTTTCAAAAACCGAACGACAGCGTTTAGGCATTTGACCCACGCGTGCCAACATGGTCGATGCATCGTCGACGCATCGGCCCGCAACTGCCCTGTTGTCGACGTGGCCGACGCTACGCGCCCCGTTTGCCAGCAGCCGCTTCGGGAGTACAAGTTCCTGCAGGTCCACCTGCGCACCCACTTGCCTGAACCGTTGCCCGACATCTCCTGGCGTGTTCAGTGCGATGCCAGCGGCGGCCCCGATGGACGTCAACGAGGGCGGCCAGAGGCGGCCAAGAGGCTCCTACAACGGCAAGGGGGGCCAGGGGAGCAGGACCAAGGTGCCCAGGGTCCGGCAAGGCGCGCCCGCCAAGGGCACCGACAACAAACGCCTCGGCAACGAAGAGATGGACGCGCTGGAGACCATGGAACCCGCAGAGATTGGCAGATTGTTCCCAGTGCTGATGAAGTGGGTCCTGAACCTGGCGCTCCGGACGCGGCAGGTGGAGGCAATCACTATCATCACCCTGCTGGCCCCGATCGGGTTGAAGCCTGTGACCATGGCGCGGCTGCGTGTTCGAGGTTAGCTGGAGCGTGTCCAACAGGCGAGGGCCGAGAACAAGAGCGAGGGCGATC